TTTGCACCATTCTCAAAATCGTGAAAGTAGTATGTGTCAGTTGTAGAAAATTAAGAAAGTTAAGAAAATATCTTTTATTTGGTAACATTTCTTGTTCTCTTTCTTTAAAATATATTCATGGAGTTATTTATACATATGCACACTTAAGTTGTGGATGGCAACAAATTGATGTCATGAATACACTGTTTTACCTTCTGCACATCTTGATTACTGGTCCCTTATGGATCTTATAATATAATTACAATTTAGATTATATTCTAGCTTTTTGATTGATTTAATGGGGGCTTACCTGTTAGACATGTTTTCCATCTCAATAAGCTTCAGTGTTTCAGGTCCTGCTTTAAGTTTCTGTACTTTAGGAGTCTCCACAAGAAGTACTCAGTCTTATTTTATACATACTCTATGTATGTTACTAATTCCCTAAACGGGGGGAGAAAATGGATGGATTCTAAAATCAAGGAATAATATGAACTATTTCCAAGTTCGTATTGAAAACCCTTGGACCCATGGTATTGTGTCCTATAGGTTGGTGCTTGACAAGGCAACTGATTGCTTTGTATTGATGACATGGGACTTTGAGAAGTTCTAATTGTTTAATTTAAATGCTAGAGAAAATAATTATTTGTCTAATTTGGCTTTACAGTTTGAGTATGATCACTTCATTATCTGTCACGTTGTGTGTGTGTGTGTGTGTGTGTGTGGATGGGGGGATTGCCCCAGAGATGTTTTGTGGTCTCTTTGTGGTTCTTGACATCATTCATGGAAAACCAGGGTCATGAATGAGTGATACTGAGGAAAATGGGATTGATCTTGTTTACAAGCCTGTATCATTTAATCACAGTCACGTTTCTCCCCCATCCGTGCCCCTCCCTCCTTGTCCATCCAGGTGAATGGTGCTATTATGTAATTCTTTCTTTTCTTATTAATTGGATACTGAGTGATTAAATCTCATTGAAATATTCAGCAATAATGTGACCTGGCAAATTTTCTGGAGGAAGGAGAAGTTAAAAGGCTTTCAGAGGACTTTGTCTAGTAAAAGTTCTTCTGTATGGTGTCTTTAGGAAGAAAGGAAAGAGTGAGCAGATTAAGGACTTCAGGGCTATTACACCTGACTTTGGAACCCCAGGAGTTAATTGATTTAATTAATGAAATTACAGCAAGATGTTGTGAGTCCTTGATTTCCATTTTATTTTATTTTCTCATGTGAATTTTTAAACTTTTGGGATTTTATCCTGGAATGGATTGGTCTTTGGGAAGCAGGGCTTGTTAATTTGATAAGGAATGTGCTCTTCTTTCCTTTTGATCCGATCCTGTAACCTTAATTTTGTTCTGTCCCACATAGTTCTGTTCACAAACACTTAGTTGAATAGTCAGTAAATTTAAATGATATAACTTTTTCATGTGCCCAACTCCAAGAACAATTAAGTGTGATTAATATGTGTTGTTGTTGTTGACCTATTTTGGTCATGTTGTAAGAAGGGACCATTCCCTGGAGAAGGATGTCATGCTTGGTAGGGTGGAGGGTCGACGAAAGAGGGGGAGGCCTTCAAGAGATGGATTGACACGGTGGCTGCAATGATGGGCTCAAGTATAGCAGGGATTGTGGGGCTGGTGCGGGATCGGGCAGTGTTTCGTTCTGCTGTGCATGGGGTCGCTATGAGTCAGAAATGACTCGCCGGCACTTAACAACAACAACAACAACAACAACAACAATATGTGTTGCTTTCAGTTTGGTGTGATAATGAGTAATCCTCTCAGACATAGCTGGGATTTGCCAGGTAAAAGATAATCTGTTCTTATTTTTCCCAGTTCACAGTCCCATAAAGAAGGTTTCAGTAGTAGTTGACTAAAACAAGTGAACAAACTTGTAAACAAGTTTTTAAAAATATATTTGCATAAAAATTGCATTAAGTATATATTCCTTTATGGTACTGAAATCTGCCAGAGATATTTGCATATCTCATTTTATCAGTTCTCCTTGCAGCTAACAAAGAGGAACAATTAATTGCCCTACCTCTATTGTTTGACCGTTAACTGAGTAGACATTTAATTCTTGAAAGAGTGTATGCTGGATGGAAAGATGATTACCTCAGAACATTTTCCAATCTTGGACCCTAATTAGTTATCTAACGTTTATCTGTCTCTCACATTCAGTATAGTTACTACTGTCCATGGAATGAGAGAGGATTTAGGTAACCAGAGCCTAAACAGTGTTTTAAGGGGTCATTTAAAAGCAAAACCGTAATATGCACTCCTGTGTGCTCAGATGGTAGAGTGCACTAGGCTTGTCATATGACTTATTTATAAACCATAGCTGCTTTTGAAAATTACCACTGTTCAGATGTTATCCCCTCCCCCAGCCCGCTAACAGCCAGTGAAGGCCACTGTAAACTCATCGCCTGTAGTCAGATCCCAGCCTGAGACAAAGACCTTTTCTATGAGAGTTTGCGCCCACTGGTTAGAGTCCAAAATGCTAATTGGCATCAGCTGCATTAAATCACTAAGTGGGGGTTAGCAGCTGCCTTCTCATTGGGGAAAAACAGGAGGGAGCCTTTGCTTTCTTACCAAGAAGGCGTCTTTCCTCTCTTAAACCAAACCCAACCCATTGCTGTCGTGGTGAATCCGACTCATAGCGACCTAAGAGGACAGAGTAGAACTGCTCCGTAAGGTTTCCAAAGCTGTAACATAAGCAGACTGCCATGTCTTTTTCCTGTGGAGGGGCTTGTGGTTTCAAACCACTGACCTTTTTGAACCACTGACCTTTCTTTCGGTTAGCAGCTCAACGCTTAACCACTGCACCACCAGGGGCTCCTTCCTCCTCTCTCAAGTTATCCTAATTTATTTTCCATTTGTATATTGTTGTGCCTTCTTAAAGAGGAGAGGAGAGGGTAAGGTTGTCTGGACCCGGCCTAGACACATGGGATATATAAACTTCCTCTGCAGGTTTTACCAATTGAGTTTTCTTTTTATATGTGGGATTTGTTGCTGTTTTAAAATTTCAATTTAGGCCTGCCCCAAATCTGTTTTCATTATATCCTCTCAGGCTAAATGAGGTGTTTCTTTTTGGTAGCCGTAGCAGTGGGGTGTGTGTGTATGTTTTTAAGTACTAGAATGAGACCACCAGACTTGTTTTACATTAATGACCAAAGGGAGAACTGAACTCAAAAGTTGGTTCCTTACTTTAAAGACAGCATGAAACAGTGTCTAATAAGCATTAGCCATAGTTGGATTCCAGTTGTAGTTGGCTCAAAGCCTTTGGCATATTCTGCATTTCTGGTGCTTTTTCTCCAAGGTGGGCACTCATAATTAGACAGTAAATGACAATTAACTGTGTTAAATGCCTTTTTATTTCACAAGATTTGTTATGAGTCATTTATTTTAAAATCATAGAAGCAAGAGGAGGAATGTTTAAAGTATACATAAACTTCATCCTAAAACAGTTATTTGAAAGGAGAGCATACTTTCCTCTCAATAGTTTTTATAGTTCAGGTTCATATGTTCCCAGGGTTTGACCACTCAAGACCTTTTTTCTTTAGATCAGTGAGGCCTTATGAGTGGTTTTGGAGATGCTATTCTGAAACAGTAGGTTTTTTTTAAGGGGTGTATGTGTTGTGTGTGTGTGTGTGTGTGAGAGAGAGAGAGAGAGAGAGAGAGAGAGACTTTTGGCCCTGGTAATACCTGCCTTCCTTACTTCTCCCCAGCTGTGTGGTGTGTATGTACCTTCACATGCACTCCTTTCTTTCTCACACATGCACAGCACACACACAGAGACCCCAGTCTACTGAGCAACCCTGGAGAGGGAAGAACATCAGTCATAAGTGGAATGAATATATCTGTGTAGAAAAACAGAATGTAGGGAAGTTTTAAGGGACCCAGTTACCATTTCCTTTGAAAAGTAGATAGAGGGAATTATAGAGATCTGGTCTTCAGATTTTTCTTAGATACTTTTCTTAACCAAGGCTGATTTTTCTCTTTGCCTGTACATTCCCTCTTTTTCCTTACTTTAATTCTTCCTTTTTCTCATTTTCATGTGACCTAAAAATCTTTGTTGACATGACTTTTTGTGTAGTATGGTAGAACACTCTGTCATGTGTATGTAACAAGAAACAGAATGTCCACGCTGGTACACAGTTTCCCACTGGGAGTAGAGAGAAAGGCAGAGGCTGGGCAAGACTTCTCAGCCCTCATCATTCACAAGGGCAGCTCATTTTTATTTTCTAGACCCATGTCACCATTTGTTTCCTTTATTCCCCACCTGATCTTCCCCCTCGAACTGTGTGTTTTTCTGATCATATTATTTTAATGAAGCAAAAAGCTAAGTGCAGAAAGCAAGTCTGCAAAAACTTTCTATAATTGAGTGACATTTTATTATTGAAAATCACTGGACCCACCAGAATCCCTTTCAGGTGCAGATTCTCACTAAACATGCCACCTAGGAGTTGCCTTGCTGCCTGTGTTTTGTAATGTGACCATAGCCTCACTGGAGGGGCTGCTGTTGTGAAGGGTTGGTAGAAGTGAATGTTATCTGGTCTTAACTGGGCCTGCCAGATGATTTATATTCATAAATATTTACTGGAAAGGAAACAACCTTAGTTGTTATAGATGAGCAAATTGAGACCCAGTGCATTAAAGTAAATTGTAATATTTACTAAATTAAAGTACATTAGGAGTAAATTGCCTAAGGTAACCTAGTCAAAAAAGCTAGGACTCTACCTCCTGCCCTATGCACCCTTATACTACTTTCCATATTATACATCTTTATCTTTTGTATTTAACATATTTCTAGCATAGCCTGTAATTTCAAAGGATAGGTCCCCTGTGATTCCTAACTCTTGGTTAGAATGAAGATAAAAGTGAATGTATATACCTCCTTTCTCTTGGTGGGCCTGGAAAGTGATGTTTCTTTCATTATTGTGTGTGTATATATCTGTGTGTGTGAGCAAAGTAAAGTTGTGCACTTCATTCAAAAGCAATGCATTTTGTTTTTGTTTATTCTTAAGGATGAAGAGGAAGAAATCAAACTTGAGATAAATATGCTGAAGAAATACTCACATCATAGAAATATTGCAACATATTACGGTGCTTTCATTAAAAAGAGCCCTCCTGGACATGATGACCAACTCTGGGTAGGCAGATGTTTCCTGAATGGTTTGTAGGGCTTTCTTCTTTGGCTGTATTAGAAGGGCACTAAGTATTTTTCAAAGAGGGGGGGAGAGAAAAATTGGAAAGTAGCTGGTAGATTCTAAAGGTTTCCTTGGCCTGTATCTTGTTTGAAGGTGTATTAGATGCTATTTTAATGTTGATTTCACATTGAACAGAAAAGAGCTAACTCTGTATTTCAAGGATAAAATGGCATTTTTTTTTTTTAAGGATTGTGATGAAATAGCAAGGAAATTGGGTGCTTATAAATAAAAGTGATAAGTAAAAATAGTGGAAACTGGTTAGTTCAATTGGATCTTTCTTTACCACTTGGAAATGAGAAACAAATCTCACGAAAGCACAATTCTGGTAGTGACTTATTAATATTAATGATAATATTAATTAAAACCAGTAAATTCCAGGGACTCTTCTGGAATTTTTATGCATTAAAAACCTCTTACTAAAAACATTTATGTTCAATATAATGACCCTGAGATATTGTCAAATCTGTGATTATTACATTAGTTATGCTCAAGGTACTGAACTTCTGAAGCAGGAAGATGGGGAAATACTTTTTCTAATAAGCCTTTTTTTGAGGGTGGGAAATGGTTGTAGAAAATTTGCGAAGTTGAGAAAGTAGAAAGGGGAAAAAAATTGTTCCAATCTCCATCACCCAAATACAATCGTAATGAAAGTTTTAGAGTTGTTCTAAGTACTTTTAAAATATAGTTGTGACCATATTGTATAAAGATTTAGATGTTATAAATAATATATTCTAAAAAAATTAGATAAAACCAAAACCCATTGCTGCTGAGTCCAGTTCTGACTCATAGCACCCTTACAGGACAAAGTAGAACTACCCAATAGGTTTTCCGAGGCTATAATTCTTTACAGAAACAGACTGCCACATCTTTTTCCCATGGAGTGACTGGTGGGTTCGAACTGCCGACCTTCTGATTAGCAGCTGAATGCTTAAGCACTGTGCTACAAGGCTCCTTCAAAAATTATATACTTCTTAATGATAGCACTTCTTTTTTGTACTAAACCCAGTTAATATAAAATAGATTGAAGATCACAGTGTGAGAAAAAGAGAGCATTTTTGAGGCTAAATGAGAAGAAATGTTAGGGAGTATTTAAATCAGATTTCTGATAATTGGTCGATGAGTAAGAATAAGACCCAAATGAGTCTCCCATGCTCATGTGTTTATAGAGCAGTAGCATTTCAGAACCTGTGCATAGGAGCGCATGCTGCATCATCTCAGAAAATCTCAATCTCCTGGACCAACTATACACAGTGGATAAATTGAGCAGTGAAAGGAGTTCTCAGTAATTTGGATGTCTCCAAAGTGATCGTATGCCTAGGTCTTTAGGAAGGGTGATGTGACTTAGACTGCATTTTAATATCTTCTCTGATGTTTACTAAATTTACTATGCTCTCTCTGACTGCTGGAATATGTTAGTCACAGTGTTTCTTGTCTACCCTAGCTTGTTATGGAATTCTGCGGGGCCGGGTCCATTACAGATCTTGTAAAGAACACCAAAGGGAACACACTGAAAGAAGACTGGATAGCTTACATCTCCAGAGAAATCCTGAGGGTAAGAGAAAGCTATAACTGTGGTACCTAATATGTGTTCTCATGCTTACATTTTCATTATCTTAGCCTGAAGAATTTCTTTGCATTAGTTATACCTATACTGTACAGATTATTTTCTTCTTGACAACCAGTGGTCTATACAGCTAGTCTGATAGTTTAAGCTACATTGTGGTTTGGACTCTGGCAAGTACCAAAGAAGATAGACTTAAACAAAAAATTATTTTTCTCTATTTTCCTAAAGTTTTTCCTCTAGGTCATCATTCCATACTTAATAGCATCTTTCCTTGGAAGTTAAAAAGAAAATCAGAGGGGAAGAGAAGAGAAATAATCTCTGTTTATTGTTTTTATAGGGACCCTGTGTGTAAGTTTATGGAATCAATATTAATGGTGCTAAATGCTGGCTTTCAAAATCATCTTGTGAACTTTGGCATTAACTATTAGAATCTGTTGTAATATTTATGAGGAAAAGTTCTAATGCTTAATGTTATTTACAGCCAATTGAAAAACTGGCTTTAGAATCTTAGAGTAAGTTTCCGAACTGCTGTTTTAGCAGCTTTCAAATGACCCCTCTCAGGAATAAAGCCATCTTGCCAGCACAGGAGAGGGGTTTTTTAGATTTCATATGAGAAATGCTTGTGAGTTACCGGTGTGTGTCTGTTTCTTTTGTCAACCATCACATTTCTTTTCGCCCCTCTACTTCCAAATTACATACTTAGCATTACTTGGATGCGTTTCATTAACCTACCATATTTTAAAATAAAAACTGCAGAAGTTAAACTAGAATCTAGTTCTTATGCTTCTCCCACTAATTAAAAAAGAAAAAAAATCTTGTAAGTAGGTACTTTATTTTTTACTTACAGTTAAAGTGACCCCACTTACTATATTTAAGATTATAGATGATTACAGGTTTAAAAAGGACCCTCTACAATTCCTAGAAAAATGCCTAATTTATTTTTATTTAGAGTCATTGAAAATAAGCACTTCCCTTAAGAAAACTAGTTATTGGGGTAAGAGAGCCATCTTTTTTATAATCACCCTCAGATTTCATTATTAAAATATCAAAAATCCTATCTTTTATGATTATTATAGGAAGCAGAGCCTAAAACGGGGAATGTGTATCTTGCCCTAAGCTACTATAAGGGAATTTAGTAAAGGAGCAGGTGTATTTATTAATAGCTAAAACTCTTAGTTTGGGAGTCAGACTAACAAAGTCCTTAAAAGATTGGGCATGGGAGTCAATCAGACTTGAGTTTGAGTTCTCGCTCTGCTACTTTTTTTATTGTAGACCATTGGTAAAATTATCAACTTCCAGGACTTAATTTCCTCATCTGTAAATTTTAGATAACAGCCCTAAGAATTAAGTACTATTAGTATGGAAATTAAATGAGGTAGTGTCTGTGAATCATTTAGTGAAACATATAGGCACATAGCAACCTCTGAGTAAATGTTAGTTGCTATCATGATTCTCCTGTACATACTCACAAGCACATTCCATTCCTACATATAATTCCAGTATAAGATTTCTCAAGCAGAGAACTGGCTTTCATTATAATATCTTAGGCATTAGATGTATTTCAGCCATCAAAGGTAAATATCCGTGTTTTTATATGCACAGGCAAGCATTGTTTGCCTATAATTTGTAATATATATATTTTACCACCATTGATCTTGGGCAGTGTTTGAAAAAGGCTAGGTTATTTGAAGCCACTAATAGACTTGCATATGACAGGTAAATGGACATCTTTCTGAGATGCAGCAAAACTTTTTCATCTCAGTGGGTTTCCTTCATCTAGATTTCATCTAGGATGTGTTTTTTTTTTTTTTCCCCCCTCTGTAATAAGAGTTTAAATTAACTAAACATACATAAAAAGCCTCTGGAAGAGTTAATATAACTACTTCTCACTTATTGACTATCTTATTATCCAACATTTCACATGTATGACAGTAGTGAAAAATCTGTCTACTTTTTGCGTTAATGAGGCCATAGCTATGGTGGCAACTGCTTTGGAGCATCCCCTCCCTTGAGGAGGGTCTCTGGGTGGCCTCTGGGCAGCTGGGCCATGCTGCCTTGTGCTCTCTGCCCCTTCCTGTCATTAGGAGTGCCATGTCCAGCTGCTGCACAGGCCATGTGTAGGCACAGACAGCACCAAGCCAGTGAGCACCTATTCTGGGTTCCCAGCTCCTATGCAGTCTGAGGCCCTGAAGCTCAAAATTGCTGTGAAGCGGGAAGGGCAGGAAGAAAGAGGTATTGGAGAGGATATTTGGAAGAAATGCATGCAAGTTTTATGAAATCCCAAAGTAAGCCAAACTGGGCTTAGAGCCTCCACCTTACTGGGGCTGGGTGCATAGCCAGGCTCCCAGCACGCTTGTAGGAAGCCCCAGTAACTTGCGAGGCCCAGAGGGCAGAACAGGCCCCAGGATCACGAAAGCAGGGCTTGCAGGGGTGGGAGTGCAGCCCTGGTGGATGCAGCTTGAGAAGGAAGCTCTGACCTAGCACAGGAGGAAGGTGAAGTGGTTAAGCTGTTGGACCTCTAGTCACACAGCCTGGCTTTATCCAGCTTTGTCTCATCTAAGCCTCCTCCTCCGCAGAGGAATGATCCATAATTGGACTGGTTACAGTGATGCATAGTCAGGAAATATTAGTTGTTATTATTTCTAGGATCAAATTTTCTTGAAAAAAAAAAAAAAAAAGGATGGCCTGAAAGCAGGGGGGCAAAAAAATCCTCTGTTTTTGCACAATGCCAATTTTTGCCTAACGACCTGGTCTTTTGAACCTTCCCATGTTTTTAAGTGAGGAGTTGGGTATACCTTGTACCCTAGTGTGTGTTTATAGGGATTACTAAGCATCTGTTTTCATAAAGAGAAAGCAAGATGGTAAGAAGGAGGTTGAGGCCTCATGGGAAATGTAGACAGCTACCCCAAAGCAAATAACCTGGGTTCTCAAAACACAGTGGGGTGGTTAATTTCTGTAGTGAGAAACCATTTCCTTATTCTTTAGAAGATCTTAGGTTTAGATGCTAGATCCTCAAAAGGATAAAAGTCATGAGCCATATAGGCCTTCAACATCAGTAGAAAGGCTGTTTTTTGCATAACCCACTGACACCTCAGAACTAAACAGTTTACCAACAAGCTAGCATGTTTATTTCAACCCACTTTCACATTCACATTCTGTGTAACAGTGTCTTTATTTTTGTAGAAACCAGTATTTCCTATTGAGTATGAGCACTTGAAGCCTTCCATCACCAATACTAAGGGACAAGCTTGACCAGTACTTTGTTCTGTGTCCATATACAGAATAGAATTGCAGGAAAACTGTTCCTAATTTAAAGACATTAATTCATTTACTCTGGAGTGAGGTGTTTGTGTACTGATTATCCAGACTTGGCATCTCTGCTGAGGTGGAATAATGGCGGCCTAGCTTTTGGGAGCTCTGGTAGCCTAGTGCCTAAGGTACTTGACTGCTAACCAGAAGGCTGGTGGTTCAAACCCATCAGCCACTCCTCAGAAGGAAGATGGGGAAATCTACTTCCATAGTGATACTGCCTTGGAAACCCAAGGAGGGGTCACTATGAGTCGGGTCCAACTCGACAGCACATAACAACAACAACAACAGCTGTTGACGTGGGAGTAGTTGAAAACACGTTGAACACACTCCAGTAGCTTCTTACAGCAGAATGCATTCATTGTTTGGAGTAGTCATAATTCAGGTTGGTTATTTTCAAAGAGCTGTCAGATAAATCGTAAACCATTTCATGTGTAGATGCAGCAGTCCTTTAGTGCTATGGGCAAGGATATAGATATTTCATGTCTTAAATTTACTGGTGGTAAAGAACAAAATTGCATGCATTTGTTTGCTGCCTTGATTTGAAGAGTGTTTATGCTTGTTTCTGAGATAAATAATTTTGTAAAAGTATAATAAGGAAGTTTGTGCAAATTAGAGAATAAGAATAAACGGAAGTAATTTAAGTAGGAATTATGAAAGAATTAAGGAAGCTACATTTTTTTTGTTGTTGTTGTTTTGTTTTTTGCAAAAATAAAAGGTGTTGGAAGAGGTACTATATTCACAGGAGGAACTTTCTTCCTAATTATAGCACTCAGATACCATATATTTTTAGTACTTCTTTTTCCCTCTTCAGTGCTCTGTGGTATAACACTGCATGTCCTATGTCATGGAACAAAACAGAGCCATCAAATAAACTGCATTCTGTTTCATAGGCATACTTGTAAATGATTGTTAAAAAATCCCTTATGTTGGAAAAATTAGCGTATTAGAGCAGCTGTTGTATTTAATTCATCTCCTACCAAGTAATGAGGGAGCTCTGGTAGCATAGTGGCTAAGGCACTTGACTGCTAACCAGAAGGCTGGTGGTTCAAACCCACCAGCCACTCCTCAGAAGGAAGATGGGGCAATCTACTTCCGTAGTGATACTGCCTCGGAAACCCAAGGAGGGATCGCTATGAGTCGGGGTCCGACTCGACGGCACATAACACCAACAACCAAGTAATGATAGCAATAAAACCCCACAAAAAAATTAAGCAGGAAAATCAAATAATCCTTACCTTTAGCCTTTTTTGAGTTAAGACATTTCAGATTTACATAGGTTGCTTGTGTCTTAGGGAGACAAGGTATAGATTTGTCTTCTCTAGTTAAGGACAGAGCAAGTAAAAGAGTTGTAAGAATGATGCATTTCCTGTCTTATGGGTCATACTTAGATGCAACATATGTTTTTGTTCTTCTACCACCTCTCTGAAGAGACATGATTTGTGGCTTCATTTCAGATATAAGGTCATTGAAAATTGCTTTATGCCCAATAGGTTTTGCTTCCTTGGGAAAGAAGTATATTTTATTTGAACACAAAGCACTTTTGACAGCAGAATTATATTTTGTGTTTGGTGTTGAGGTCAGATTGATCAGCAGCTAGCAGTTTGTCACTGTGCAGTGGGAAAACTAACCAGTGTCCAAAAGCCCAATTTTAAACCCTGTTCTAGCCCTTCGTTTTTTCCCCTGGGGTATGTCCAGTTCAAATATACCCAAGGGGTCACCCACTGAAAGATAGACATTCAGTGTGGGAAAGGAACCACCCTGTACATAAATAGCACAAATTATAGCAGAGAAACTGCAGATGGTAATCTAAAGTGTGTCTTAAAGGCACAGCTAAAAGATGGTGAGGTTGTTCACATGGGGAACCTCGCCACTTGGAATGCTGGGGGAAGTTTCTTTCTGTCTATGAGATCTTCTGGAAGTGTGCTCAGTAGGAGTTCATAAAAACATGAGGACCACATATGCAATTTGTTATAAAAGGTGTTGTCTTGGCTTTTTGAAGGACTAAGATTCAGCACTGTCTTTCCTATTCAGGGGCTGGCACATCTTCACATTCATCATGTGATTCATCGGGACATCAAGGGCCAGAATGTACTGCTGACTGAGAATGCAGAGGTGAAACTAGGTATGTGATGGGTGGACATGAGCATTATCTAATTCTTGCCCCTAGAACAAACCAGCAATATTCCCTGTCCCATTCTTCATTTGGCTAGAAGTTTAACCTCTTACCCACATTTTTTCTTTCTGTTCTATTTAAGAATGTGGGAACTGGGCTTACTGCTTAGTCTGGCTCCAGTTGTCCCCATATTCCCTTTTGGTCTTTCGCTATATAGCAACAAGACTCATCTTTAAATCAGATCATGTCATTCACCTGCTTCAAGACCCCTGTTGTTGTTATGTGCCGTCGAGTCGGCCCTGACTCATAGCGACCCCTCCTTGGGTTTCCGAGGCAGTATCACTACGGAAGTAGGATTGCCCAACCTTCCTTCCGAGG